GCATCAGATCACCCACTTGAGGAGGATTGACCATCGTGGGTCGACATTTCTTTTTCTGCGAAAATTCCGGCGTGAAGAGATGGAAATCCTTAAAACCCGACAAAACAAAATGAGTGTTAGAGTTGTTTGGTATTGCTAAAAATATCCCCTGCCCTCTCCCGCCAGCGCCACGCACGCCGTCCGGAGCCCTCTCCGCTCGGGCACAGCCGGTTGAAAAGGTACGCGTGAGGCGATTAATTGTCCATTTTCCTCCTGTGCAAGAGCGGAGAGGGCTCCGGACGGCGTGCGTGGCGCTGGCGGGAGAGGGCAGGGGATATTTTTAGCAATACCAAACAACTCTAACACTCATTTTGTTTTGTCGGGTTTTAAGGATTTCCATCTCTTCACGCCGGAATTTTCGCAGAAAAAGAAATGTCGACCCACGATGTCAATCCTCCTCAAGTGGGTGATCTGATGCTTGAGAGTGGCCTGCCATGTCATAGGAAGGACTGTGGTTGCAGGGGAGTACCACCAACCATCACTTTAGTTATAGTTCCCCACCGATTTATTTCCCATGGGGTTGCAGCCCGCAAAAAAATGAAATACCCGTTCCTGGTGCTTGCTTCTACTCGCAAAGATCGGGAACATGCGGAATAGCTTTCGGAATAACTCATCTCGCAACGAAGAAACTAGGGCGCGCCTCACCGCGCGCACATTTCGCCAGAACGAGAGCGGCATCCACTGAGCGTATGCCACGCACTAGGCGAGAGGCCGTTCAAGTGCGAAGAGTGCGGACTGGCCTTTGTCGAGTCCAACAAGCTGACGATGCATCGCCGACGCGCGCACGGTGACAAGACAATTCTGAGACACTTCCACCTCTCCTCACCGCAACACGCACGATATCCTGATTGACCCTCCGTGCTGCAACCATGCTGAATTTTCCGCCACGCCACTCCACCTCCATGACATTACTTGACCTTGTATGTTCGCAGGCTCCGAGGCAGCAGAGCAGCCAAATGCGGCTTCCGTGGTCAACGACGTCAGTGGCCAAAAGCGGGGCAAGCTCGAGGGCAGCACGGAGAGCCCAGCAAAGCTGCTCAAGGAGAGGGACGTCGCCATGGCCACGGCGGTCGCTCTCTCTACCTCGCCGAGCTCGGACTCGCTCTCCTCCTCGGCGAGCAGCAGCAGCACTTCGCAAGGTGCACCATGTGAT